TGTGTGTGTGTGTGTGTGTGTGTGTGTGTGTGAATGCATCGATCATTGAGATCGGTTCCCCCTTTCTCCCCTCTTCCCCCCCACCTTTCCCCTACCCTCCTGGTATCCCTATTCCCATTTCTGTACCTGAGGGATCTATCTGACCTGGATTCCGTGTGTCGAGAGCTCTTTTCTGTAGCAGTGTACATGCACCAGTCTAGCCAGAACTGAAAGGCAGGACTGGGGTCACGATAGTGGGGGGCGAGGAAGCCTCAAAGAACCAGAGGAATAGTGTGCATTTTATTGGTGCTAGACTGCGCCCTGGTTGACTCATCCCTTTCTTGCGCCCCTTCTGTGAGGGACTGCCCTATTGCCTACAGATGGGTTTGGGGTCTCAATCTTAACACACTGGTTCCGCTTGTCAGTGCCCCTGAGCCTGTCTGCGCTGCATACTCACCCACTGTGCCTACAACAGCCTGAAGGAGTCTCTGGCTCCAGCTCACAGAGCAACTTTCTGTTTCGTTTAGGGACTTAAGTCACCTACCAGCATTTCTTAGTTATGTGAAGTGACTGTCTGTATCTCCCTTGAAGTGCACAAAACCACATCTTCCCCCTTTTTCTGCATTGCAAAGTAGTCTAGAACCTCCTACTTTGTTCGTAGGGAGTCCTTGCTCCACAGACCTGCTGTAGTACATTCTTCAGGTCTGGGGCTGTGGGACAAGGCAGAGGACAGGAAAGCAGCTTGAGAGACGTAGAGGAGGGTGGTGATACAACGTTCTAGTGGGAAGTGGGAAGTCTGCTGCCAGGAGCCAAGGAAGGGCTGTCATGTGGAGCTCCTTCAGTGAACCTTCTGTCCATCTCCCCTCCATTGTTTCTTTGGGGGGGGGCATGCGCAGCTTCCTGTCAGCATGAGTCAGAGCAGAAGCACAGGTTACCACCGCATCTCTACTGAGTCGCTGGGGGTCAAGGCCACGGCGCAGTCTCAGGCTCTCGAGCTGCCTTGGCCAGGTCCTCCTGGAAGTTCGTTTGTCTGGGATGGTAGTTCTTAGAGACCTGCATTTTCTGGCCTTGCCCCGTGGGAAGGCTAGAACCATGCTGCATGCCCTACTGCGCCTGTCGCCTGACTAGCCCCTTAGGAGAGCCTGTGGATGCGGACGTCCGACAGATTCTGTGTCTGGAGGGGAGAAGGCAGGTTCCAGGGGAGGCCTGGGGAGCGGCCGGCCACAGGGCGGGCTGAGGGGATTCCAGGGCCTCCTTGCACAAACAGTTTGGAAACTGGAAAGTGCACAAGTCGCGGCTGGAGGGGACAGGCAGAGAGTGACATGGCGCCTGCCAGTGACTCCTGAGGTCATCTTTTTGAATCTGCACAAAACTCTTCCCTATGCACAATGCTGGAGGCCACTGCACATGGCCACCAACCCCCCCCCCACCAACTGTCCCTTAGCCCAGTCACCATAGAGCTCGTCCCAAATGGGCCATGGGCCATGGGCCCCGTTGCGGTAGCTGTGTTGCCGTGGCCTCCTGTGGTTTGCTCCCTAGTTAGCTGCCCGCTCACCCAGGAACAACGTACAAGCA